TAAATTCATTGAAACTATGGAAATTTGTCCATGGCAGCAGGGTTTGCGGAGAGCAATAAAGCAGTTGTTCAAAAATTGCTGCTGGGCATGGGCGTTTTCTGATGCGTAATGATTTGTTGCAAACAAGGCACGAATCAGCAATTCATTTGTACATACATGGGCATGCAGTTCAACACCCAACTGTGTAGTTGTTTTGCCCAGTAGCTCAGCGGTAGGTAAAGTAGAGCATAAAACACAAACCACCAAACTGTATACCTAAGATTTTCAGTAACGCTCATAGAACGAGAAAACACACAAACAAGGGGTGGTTGCAGCTGTTTCGACTGGTTAATGCTCCATCCAATCAGAGTACAAGGCCGCACCTAATTTGTTCCACAATTCTGAGAAACATATGCTACTGGGTAAAAACGTGCTACCACGAATATGTGGCTGAGAAATGTCCAAAAAACATGGATGCGGCCTTCAAACTCATTGCCGTGACTTACAAGCAAACGACCAAGGACCGAGTGGTGAAAAGTATTTTATATCAACCCCGTGTATGAGAACAAACAGTGCCAGAGGAAAGAGACTCTCTCAGGTGGACACCACATATGTAAAAGGTTAGCACATTCTTGCTTCCTGCCTATATGCTATTCAAAACGCTGCACAGAAAGGAGGCGTTCAAGAGGTTTTCGGGCAGCATGGATGCGCCTGAGCGTGTCAATGACACTGCTCAGAAAAGTGAACAAAATTTACAGTGTTTGTGTACCACAAGAGTTGTCCTTGCGCTTATCAAAAGAGTCAGAGCATCCAAGGGCCTTGGAATACAGAAAATGCTGACGTGTTCTTCATCTGCAGACGTTTCAGACGACTGAGACATTCCGCCTCTGTTTGTGGACACTCTTTGTTCGTTCGTGGGACACCCAGACACTGTCTGGTGCTTGCACTCCCAAGAATACGTAAAAGCACTCTAGGTAGCATATATATATATATATATATATATATATATATATATATATATATATATATATATATATATATATATATATATGTTTGGGGAGTGCGTAAGTTTGATGCAGCGTACTTTTGTTGGCGGGGTGGGGTAGGATGGGCAGCAGTTGTCCCCCATGTGCCCTTTCGTGTTTGGTTTGCTCTGTGGTGCTGTCTGGCTAGGCACCCTGTGGTTTGGCGTGGCGTTGTGAGTTGCCCCACGCAGTTATTTTGGGTGTGGTGTGGCATGCATGGTCATACGGTGGTTGACGGCTTCTACCATTAGACATCACGCTGCCTCGACAGCCTGCACATAAAGCAACACAATAAACGTCAATTCTGCAACCCCTACCTCTTCTGCTCCCGACAGTAATGGGGCCTCAATTGCTCAACATACCTTATCTCCTCTCCCCCCACCCGTACCAGAATGAGTGCAATACTAGCAGAATTGAAATTAACCTGCAATTCATTACTCACATGTAAACAGGCACACCAGTGGGATGAGTGCACCTCAACCTGAACGGAAACTGCACAGACCTAATAGGGACATTCACGCTGTCCACTTGTGCATTGCTGCTACGCATCAAGAAAAACTGGAGATTGGCAAACAATATGACATAAAGAATGGAGCATGGTCCACACAAAAAAGGACGTTGCTGATACGCATACATTAGAATGGCACCAAGGCCGGCACCGCGACAGTACCAAAGCTGAAAAAACGAACTTCTAGCCCTCTAAAATCTGAGCCTAGACCCTAGCAGCGGGTCTCGCACTACTCTCCATCCCTATACTAGTCCTGGTCCCAGTACCCATCGCTAGGAAAAAACAGGCCAGATGACACAGTCTTGACACGGTCTGCTCAAAATCCAACCGTGTACTTTCGGCAAATGTAGTCCCAAAAGTACACAGTTAGTACACACATTGACACAGTTTCAACCGTGTACCCTCAAATAACTGTGTAGACTACACTCACATTCTGCAGAGAACAGGCAACGCCGGATCTTTTCTGGCCACACCGCTAACCATCACAGTCATTGTGCAGTGTTATCACCACTTATTTCTGGGGAGGGACATTCGAACCCAGACGGGACAAATGCTAATTGAGAGCACCGTTGCGCTGTGATGTTGTACAATACAACTGCCATCCTCTCCTGTAAACAAACGGCACATTGCACCATGATACAAGGTCGTGTCCAGGCAAATATGCAATTGAAGTGAATGCACCAGAGCAAACAGACTAGGCCAAACTTTGTCCTACACGACAGGTCCTTCGCCCCAGCGACGTCTTTGTGGATATGCGCTATTCGCAGTATGTGTGCATGCTCTCAAGCTCCGGTAGCTCTTCAAACAGAGGAAAATACTCAAGAATATCTTGTCGACAACAAGATTTCCAGGTGCAGTAATCAATTCAAATCGAAACCACGTGGAGCTAGGTACGTGACCAGATCGAGCGAGTCCAGAACTTGCACACATTTTGGGCAGATGCCATTGCTGTGGTGGACAGAGCCGCACAATTCTGGATGCCCATAATGGCCACTTTTGACAGACGCAATTCATAAGAAGAAAATGCCCGACAGGATCTTGTCACCAGCCAGGTCGGGAGCCGTGTTGGCAGCAATTCAGATTCAAACTGCAAGCAAGAGGATGCCACCTGGAGCGGTCCAGAATTCGTGCAGCTAATTGGTGCATGTCGTTGCCATGGTGGACAACGGCCACTTGTCGTCACTGTTTTCAGAGGATCCGCGCCCACCTGCAATAGACACCTTCAAGCACCACACCAGGCACACCAAGTACATGAGCCAAATCATCAGCAGCTCCACTAAACCCATGCCCTGCTGCGCGACCCCATGTCGAAGGATTCCTTTGGACGCCCGCTCAACCGCCTTGACTTGCCTTGTGGCCATCACCCGAGCTTGCTTTGCGCGTGGTGTGAGTGGTCCACTGGTTTGGATGCCGCGTTTTGCTACCGAGCAGACACCCATGCAGAGGGCGTTCTTCGCGTGGTCCTTGGCGTCTTGGTGGTGGTGGTGGTGGTGTGTGTGGGTGGGGTGGGTGGGGGGGTGGGGCAGTCTTGGCTGGTCAATGGCGTAGATATTGCGAGTGTCACACACGCACCAGCAGCGTTTTTTTGGCGACTGAATTGGCAATTTTTGTGCAGATTGGATTTTATGCGGCCGGTTCAAAGCCCAACAAGAGAAAATAATTCGGACAACAAGTGCGACCAGAAATGATTCCCACCTGTGGACTCTAGCTTCCTACAATTTAAGTGCCACAATTCCATGGCGTGTGTCATTAACCACCAGGTTGCAAAGCTGAATCCTCAAGCTGAAGGTGGCACCGCTTCGCTGCTTCACACCATGCGATTGGCATTTCCCTCATTGGCGCTCTGTGCAGGTTTCTGCTGCGCCGCTCCCGGGTTCTAAGGTTGCGAGTATTGCGCCGTCTCCGGCCAAGCCAGGACCCCACTCTCGCACTCCCAACGAGCATGGCGTTGACGATCAATGCGAAATGCTGCTGCCAATCGCGACCACAACCGCCCAGGTGGCTGCTGCCTTTCCAAAATTTGCCAGACCCTATGCACCGCACCGATTACTAGTCGACGAGATGATCGTTGTTGATCAAGTTGCGCGTTATTCTCCCTCGATTTAGGAGAGCTCAGCTCCTTGCCCCTTTGTGTAACCTTCACATGGGGGTGTGGAACCCAATGGGGAGCTTCCGCACGATCACTCTAAGTGAGTGTGCTGAGAGACCAGCGGGAATCGAACGTGCTGATGGCCTGCTTTGAGATGTCGCTCACCACTTGCTGTGCCTGGCAATGCTGGGATCAAAGCACTCTAATGCGGACAAGGTGTCCCAAAGTGTGTGAAGTTACAACCTCCATGCAGGGATTCGCCGGCAAGGCTGAATACGAAGAAATGCTGCTCGCCACCTTATGTGTTCTTACAGAAACATAAAACTGAAACTGCATCAGAGAAGGTTTGTGCTATACTACGAGCACTATTGTAATTTATTAGCCCTTTGGCCAAGCAACGTTTCTTCTTGTTTCGCCATGCCTCTCTGAAAGAGTAGAGTGACACTCTTTCGCATGTCAGTGCATTCGTGCTCACCACATAAGACAGGGATCGGCGATGGGCCATTGTCGTTCTGTTATCGTGCAAGAATGGTTCTGCATCGCTTGCACCACACCCAACCAGCACAAATGGCCGGGCCCCGCCTCGCAGTGCCAACGTCGTCCTTTCCCAATGCCAGTGCGCCTGCGCCCCTACAGAGCAGATGCAGGTCGCACGACAATCGGTTGGCCTCCCGTTTGAAGTGCAGCTGCCGGCCCCATGGCTGACCATTCCCTTCTAGCTCTGAGTACTTTTTCGACGTGACCTTGATGACAGCAAAAGCACGCCTTGGCACTGGTCCCCAACGCAAGCCTGTTCCTTAAAGCAACAAACTTTGTACCGGAGTAAACGATCTTCTGGCCACGCCAGCTTTGATGCCGAAGGACACAAAATTCTGTGATAATTACACGAAATGCCAAGGAACAAGCTTCTTCACATGTGATGTAAAATGCACCAAGGCATTGACAATGAAAATGAGGATTGTAGTGGCAAAAGTAAAAATAACATACATAGTACTAATGTTAATATAGTCATTGATGATGAGTGCGATGATGACGAAAACAACACAATTACGCAATAAATGTAGGAGATAGATATGCGATGATACTAATGTTCACAAGAGCAGACAATCGTTGTCGACATCACTAGGAAAACAATGCCAAATAACACGTGTTCAAACGTGTACAAAGTTTACGGGTTTGGGTTATTTTTGTGTTCTTAACATGCAGAACTTAGATGAATTGTGTTTTATGTGTGTTCACAAAAGTGTTATTTGGTGCTTTTTTGCTAGTGCATATGCGTTCCTTCTGCCATCCAACTGATTATTTTTGAAATGTGTCGAGTTTAACTAATAGACGATGCATGGCACGCTGCACCACTTCTGGGTCCCCAGAGACACATATTTCCATGGCGTGTGTGCAGAGTGGGACAACGGCGCTCTTGTACGCCGCCATCAATGGCCACCCAACTGTCGTGCAAAGACTTCTAGACTGCGGTGCGGCCGTGGACCTGGCGAATGAGGTGGGGAATTATTTAATGAATTGCCATTAAGGATAGGCAGACTCTGATACGCGGTATATTTGTAGGAATAAGAAGCGATCAGATGATAAACATGTACTATCTCATGTTTTTGTGGAGATACAGTTCACTACGTAACGTTGTAAGGTGTCACATTGATGCATGAGTGCGGATAGAGTGCCCCGCTTCATGGACACTTGAGCAGCAGAAGAGCACTGCGAAGACGGCGTGTCCTTCCAGACTGCGTTAGGAGTATTCCACTCGCCTGGTAATGGCGATGCAAGTGATATTAATACTAACAACATCAACAATAGAGTATCGTAGTATGTTAAACCTTTCCGCATTGCAACAGCGTAACGCTTGGCCTTTTTACGCGGAGCAACGACGGAAATGCAATGGCACCAGAAAAACGTTCGGAGCTGTTAAAAAACGTCGCACCCACAGTGGGAGCCTGCGGACTGGACAACTGCACCAAAATATTTGGCGGGAACGTTGTTCTGCCAGCCTAACCCTGCTGAACCAAAAGTAACAAAACAGATGAAAAATGCAACAAAAGAGCAAAAACAAAAACAAAATTATGTCGACAAAATGAAGATCAAAATTGCAGTGCTGAAAGTTCCGAATGCGGAAGGATTCAATGCATTACGGTGGCAATAATACACCAGTAGAAAACAGCCTGTTTGCGATGCCAACTGCGATGCCATTTGACACAAATTGATGCCATCACAGCCGCTGTTATGCTATCGCACTCACTGTGACGGCATCAATTTGTGTCAAAATTGCATCGCAGCTGGCATCTCAAACATGACGTTGTCTACAAGTGATAGGAATTGTAATTGATGATGACGATACTGCAATTGTGCCACAGCAATATATGGCATGTAATGATAACACAAATATTGTGACAGTCATGTAACAGTAAGCCAAAGTAAGCAAATTGTATAAAGTATGTCCAGTGAAAGGACACAACCCTCGTTGTATCACTTTCAGATTCCCAGGGATGCTGTTTTGGTCGCGTGTGTGTAGATTAGGCGCACAGCGCTGATGTACGCCGCCCAGGGTGGCCACACACCCGTCATGGAAAGGCTGATCGACTCGGGTGCAGCTGTGGACCTTATGGACAAGGTGAGGGATTTTGCTTGACGAATTGCCATTGGGTATGGTAGGACTTGCATACACAACAATTTTGTCTGGACAAAATACGGATGAACAATCCACACGTGTTGTCGCGAATTTCGTGGAGGCGTAGTACGCCCCACTTCTGTAATATATACTGTACTACAATATGTGAGGCCAATGTATCTTGGGGAACTGCCTGGTTGAGAAGGAATCAATTTTTTGTCAATCAGGACAGTTGCACTGCTCTGCATCACGCAGCTTGGCACGGAAAGATGCCGGAGGTGAAGCTCCTCCTTGAGAGGGGCGCTGACACATCCATCAGGAACAAGGTGTGTAGTCTTAAACATGTCAAGACCTGTAAAATTGTTGATTGTACAGTGACCACAGCTGGCACGGCAATACAAAAAGATATGCACACAATTGCAATGGCTCGGCGTGGATGAAGATGAGATGAAAAAGCGCTGGAAGCACACCATGTACACTGCTTCGTTTCACTGCGCATAAGGGTTTCGAGGCATCGACGGGATTGAGAATCAGCATGAGCGTAGCTCCTTGTAGGTGACCTAAGCGAGTCCTTGTACAGGTGCGCCTACATTGCGCGTTGGATCAACTATGCAGCGGTGGCGGCAGTTGTGTTGACGGTCTGCCTGTCTGCTGGGTTGTGACTTGCGCTGTTTGGATGTTGTGCGACAGGAAGCTGATACCGCTGCAGGACTGGCAAAGAGGAACAAGCATCCAGAAATTGCCAAATTTATCAAAGGCTGGAAAAAGTCGTTCATCAAGAGAATGTTTTGAATTTGGTGTTTGCTTAGCTCTCGGTGATTGGAAGCCTGATGCGTTTGCACACTTATTTGCCGTCAGGCTAGCAGAATGTCCGCTGGAACTCTGGAACTAATTGTGTTCCATTTGAGCCATTTAATTTCAAACAAGCAATCATCCATTCAACGAATCCATGCTGGAAATGTTGAGATTTCGCGTGCACCTTTTCCAATACTGCTCGAAGACCAGCCATCTTCCAGGATTGATATCGTATATTGAGAAACTCCTTGGACACAAATTGCGGCAGCATGTGGTGTACTGTGTACTGGCGCCGCTGTGTCGATGGGCTGAGAACACGACGCGTGGTGCAAGAATTTTTGGTTTTTATCTGCTGCTGTTTCCATTTTACCACTCAAAGCATTGGACCTCTTTGTCCTGAATCTCATCTGCCCACGATACGCCTCCTGAAAACTGTTCAAGCACAGTGTCGGTCATCCATATGCGTTCGCTTCATTCATTCGTCGCCCTGATCCGCTTAATGGCCGAACAAATGGGACACCCTGCATAAGCACCCTCTCGGGAGGTGTGTTGATTGATGAATGAATTGACCATCCTACCCGGGGTACAGATGCAATTCATGGCCGGTCAAATCCACCTCGATGGCCTGAGCCTCAGCGCAACCACACTGCTCGTGGGTTGCCCGCCTTTCGAATCGTTCCCCCAAACAGGGCCCCTTTCTGGGACATGTCTGGCAAAGAGTCGTTTGATGTATCAATATTCCCCCGGCGGAGGTTGCAAGATAAGCAGCCGACATGCACACTTACTTTCTGATGCGAGCACAGTATCCGGGATCGCGCGGCTGTCGGGGCAGGTCGAATGTAATGTTGCAGGGCTCCTGTTGGGCGCAAAGCTCTGCGCGGCACTCAACACACACTGAAAATGAAGAACTCCAAGGACGCGGTGTTGCATACATCATTTGAAAAACTTGATTTGGCAGTTTCACACGATTTACAGCATTACTGTACTCATTTTTTGAAACCCATGAAAAGCCCCAACTTCTTGCGGCAATGGCTGACTCCAGTAAATTAGGTGGTTTCCGGCGTCGGAAATTGATGCATTTGGGATATTTCCTTCCGGTGCGACCGAACTGGGTTTTCACGGTGACGGGCCGACGCCACCAATTGCCTATGTCAACCCCCAGCTGACATTCCCCGCAGATTCCCGCTGTCATTCCACATCATCGGCTGGTTGAGCCTTTTCTCAGCGAACAAAATCACTGCCAGATACTAGCACAAAGAACTTAAAGAGTTCCGTAATAGCTACTGTAGTGTTCTTCAAAAGTTTGGCTGGACATGAATGGAAAACTGCTTGCCGTTGCGAAGTTTGTCAGTGGCATGTCATGGGAGCCTGATCTCTCAGCAGCTTTCGTGCCAGGCGCTGGTCGCGATCCCCCTGCTGCTGCATCGCTGGCGAACGGAGCGTGTTGAACTGAACACAGTGGCTTACATTTCATGTGCAGCAATGCAAATTCCATCTGCTGGCCCATGCACAGTGTGCCGCCCCACGCTTGACTCGAAAACGCATCGAGCCAAATACAATGAAATACGTATCGACCGAAATGTATATCGGACGGAATGCAATGTCACGTGTATCACCAATGCCATTGATATACATGCCCAGCCCCCTTATTATATGTCGAGTCTAAAATCCAACCAAGGGCAGGCAGAAAACGAGTTTGGCATATTATAGAAATGACTGGCAACGCAGTGCACAAATCTGTTGTTGCTCGTGGAGGAAAAAAATGTTGAACTGAGGTATCGTTTGCCCGTGAAAGCGTTGCCTTGAATCCTTCCATCGCGAATTTCCAGCCCATACCCATGTATCTCAGGATCCGATGTCATTAGTAGAGTAAATCGCATGTGAGTGTGAGACACGTATCACATGCTATTTCAAATCTCCACCCAATCTTCATTGGCCCGAGAAAAAACACCACTGACAAACTTGCGGATGTGGCTGTGGCTTCCGCCGCCTTGTTTTTGCAATAGCCATGCTTCTTCGTGTGTTCAAAGCACAAACTGCAAGTTGGAACTTAGAATTCAACGGCGAAATTGAGCACCATTGCATTAGTCACCAGTTCCAAATTCAAAAACTAAATAAGACTGAGGATTGCAAAACAGTTTTGCAATCTTTTCTTAGACGACGTTGGTGGTATGATACCCACCGTTGCCTGGCAGGCGCAATGGCCATTGCTTTTTGCCTTCTGGGAAATACTGCCCTGGTACTGCTAATTCTTGCATGCTTGGCAAAGACAACTAATCGGGGTGAAAAGAGCTGAAGCACACCTATACGCCCTCTCTACGGAGTATACCGAGCTGGTGCATAGGATCGAACTCCCAAAATATTCGCGCTTTGATACCTGCCATGGCGCCCTTCAATGTCAGAATGGGAGCGCAGTTGGCATCGCCAAAATCGTGTTTTCTGCTAGTGAGATCCCACTCGCGACTGACCCGTGGAATTCTCACAATGATCGTCGTCACCCAGTCATATGTTGCACCCAGTGAAACGTGAGCTGCTGTGTGGCGCCACTACCAGGTCATTGCAGCGGTTCAATAACTCAGGCGCGGCCCCACAAGGGCAGTCCTTGTATCCGTGACCAACGTCGGAGGCATGTTTTTTGGGGTTCGGTCGATGCCGTCTTGCCTGTGGAAGCTCGGAGTTGGAGCCTCAAACTTGGAATGCAGATTCAATTGCTTCTCGCGACATAATGTGCAATTCATGCGTTTATTTTGGAAGTTAGGCATCAGTTTGGCGCCAAGCGGCCCATTTAGCGCAGTGCCTCGTCTGAAATCCTCAGATACTCTGGCTTCATCCTTCATCAGTAGAAGCGCCAGGTCGACTCTGGGACGTCCCGGCTATTAATAACCTTCTCCAATCTGCCTTTCCATCCCAAACTTAATCCTAAACCTGCCGGTAGGCTATCTCCGCGCACCCGCTGCGGTCCGGCTTTGCTAGAGCTCTTACCCACTAGCCCTTTCCCTAAACCTGCATTTCAGCTAGAAAATGACGTAACGTTGTGTGCAATGCACCCTGATACTATGCACACTGTGCATAGTATCATCGATGATACGCCGATAATGCTGGGCATCAACGCTTGTCAACATTAACATACGGGCATTTAATGCAGCCCTGCTGGGTTACGCGCCAATGCCAAGGCAGCTACAATATGATGCAACAGAGTCTAACCATTGCGAAGGCCACTTATATTTTTAGTTCAACGGTCCTCTTTTAGCCCAGCCTGCAGGCCAACGCATGAGGATAGAATAGCGCATGGAGGTACTGAATGGGTAGTTGGGTGGCTGGATGGTTGGGTGTGGGTGTGGGAATTTTGTTTTTTTCCTTTCTTTGGAAGGGCTGTGGGGTATTCTATGGCTGTGCGAGATACCGTTGGGCTTATGCGACTTCCGTGTTTGGACATTCTCGTCCAGTGCCACAGGGTGCGGCAACATGCTCACGAAGTCGCAAAAAAAGTTGTTGCGATGTCCCGCCACTTTTCTGCGTTTGAAGTTGTTTTTTGGATTGATGCGTAACGTGTCAAAGTGGTCGGGTGCCTGCACCCTTGGTAGTAAGCGCGACAACGCGGAGGGGACGCTACCGGTTCAGCGACTGATGCGGAATGGCGGGGGCAAGTTGAGGTAGTGCGGAGGCAAGCCCCTGCTCGCGTTCCTGACGACACCCTGATGCTCAAGTTGCTGAAAGGGCGCCTTCCCCCATCATCTGCGGTACATTGCAGGGAGAACGTATTAGTCCCTACTTCTTCTTCTGCTGACAGGACCAACGTGGGTCAGTGGGTCAGTGATTTAGGGTGCTAGGTTTTGCGGTGCCGAAACAAGAATCAGCAATCACAAAACACAGAAGGAATACTTCCATGCCGATTCTCGGCGATGCCATTCTCTGGCGCGCCTGGTCTGCCGGAGCTTGCGCACGCTACCTTCAAATCGTTCACCACGAACAATCATCGTGTAAGGAAAAAAGATTCCGACAGCTTGTGTCACAAAAAGCCGGTGCAATCGGAATGCAGCACCGCTGACCGGCCCCTCGGATGGTGCCCAGTGGCGCAGCCACACGATCGTAAAAGCTCGCCTTCGCCGTCGGTGGCTCCGGCATGAACCCCAATTGGCACTTACAGCACGTGCTACTTAAACATGACGATAGGTTCATGCGTTTTGCCTCAAATCTGGCAGGTCGATCTGTTGGAAGGCCACCAACTCAAGGGAACATTCCACTGGCCGTCCCAGCTAATTTGGCCTGGCCAGTCCCCGAATGAAATCCCACGCCCTTCGCATGACTATTCTGGTCCCACAACAAATACGGCTTCCCCTCAACTCCCCCATCACAAACTTCTAAACGAGCGCCCTGGACCCGTCCGCCCGCCGGCGTTCCTAGGTCGGTACCTACAGCCCATCTCCCTCACTCCCTCCTCTACCACTTCTACCACTGTCGTATGTGGCAGTGTCGGCGTGGAGAAATGGCGACGAAGACTGGCACCGCTTGGCGAAAGACGTCAAACTCAAAAAGACGTCAACAGCACAAATCGAAGATAATATTGTGAAAACAGAGCAGACGGCATAAACTTCTAAAATACACAGCTGCGCGATAACCACAATGACTACAGGACTGTCATGTCACAGGAATCCACGTGGGAGACCCTCAGGACGTTGCAAAGTACGGGAAATGCAGCCGCGAGGTGTTAAGAAGACAATATGAGGGCAGGGACGTCACAAAACATCACAGGAGCTGGAGCGGACGAGGCTCAACACACGATATAGTACTGAAAACACCCAGCCACTCGAGGACCTGGGACGCAGCGCGATGGCGAAAGGTGTCATCAGGGCAACCTGAAACGCTCAAAACACAACAAACTACTACTGGATCAGGACACCTATACCCAGCCACAACAACGAGGATTGCCCGGCCATGGAATTTGTCACAGGGGCAACATTGAGAGAAGGCTTTGGACAAGATAAAGTACTAAATAG